GAGGACATTCCTTGAGAGAAAGATATCTATAAACAGCACATGCTGCAGAAACCCCCATCCAGAGAGAGACACGATCCCTCACTGCAGCAGGAGGGTGACAATCCAACACAGCCCTATGCTGTACAAGCAGCCCTTCTCTGCCCTTTCACATATGCACACAAACATCCCCTGGCAGCCTACACTGATCTCCACACTCCCCCTCCTTGGCAAGCCCAATGAAAACCCTTTTTAAATCCCTTCCAGTAAATGCCAAGGGCATTCAGCTTGGAGCACTCCTTTACTGCTCTGCTAGTGAAGTGAGCGGGAGCTGCGAAGGTTCAGCTGTCAGCACAGCAGCTTTCAGGATCACACTGTTCAAGGGGGATGGAAAGCCCAGCTGCCACAGGAGACAGGGATAAAACTTTCCTGTCTACCTCTGGAGTCAGTCACTTTGGACACTACCTTGCACCCACTCAGGAAATTCTCAGGAGTAACCAGATGGGATAAAACTGCTACCAGAGCGTGGAAGGAGCAGGAGTGAGAGAGCTGGCTTAGGGAGGGGTGCAGGTGTGGGTAGGGGTGTTCCCAGGAATGTAATCCTCTGGGGAAAGGAGGGCTGGGGCTGCTGGAAACACTGATAAGCAAGCAACTGAACTTGGCAGGAATCACTCAGGAGGAATCAGAGCAGGCAGCTGCAGCTCCTGCAGATGAAAGGCATCACCTGGCAAAGGCCAACCGTTTTGCCAGGAAGCTTGCTTTTAAGAAAAATCTCCCAAGAGAAGAGACAGTGGGTGGTTTCCCCAGTGTGGTGATGCCAGCTGACGCAGTTCCCCTCTGCTCCCTGAGGCCATGAGGCCCCGAAGCCAAGGTCAAATGTTTGAGAACCACCATTTGCAGGCAGGCCCTCATTTGAGGCTTGCAGAGAGAAGGGTTTATGCCATGACTAGATTACTGTGTTGCTGTTGCTGGGGGGATTCTTGGCCCTTCCAGAAATGATGCTGTTTTCTGGAGCCATTGACTCCAGCCCTGATATTCACCACCTTCCTTCTCCCAGCCTCCCTATGCTCTGATTCCTCTTCCTGTAGCTCCTGGCGCAGGTCAAGGACCTAATGGGGCAGAGAACCCACACCCCACACCCCACAGAACCACCAGAACCTGTAACCTCAAAGCTCTTAAAGGACCCCTCTTACACACCTGGTTAGGAAATTGATATGTTAGTCCATCACTTACTATATAAACACATGGCAGTGAAAAGGAAGAGAGAAAATTAAAATGGAAAGATGAATTAAAGAGGGAAAGAGAAAGAAAGAGAGGAAAAGAAAAAAGAGGAAAAGAGAGAAAGAGATCACCAGTCCTACTTCCAGCATCAATCCAGCTGATATGACCTCATTCATGGTTTCAGTGTTAATCCACCTGATGGGATGTCAGTCCTGTCTCAGCAGCCATCCAGTCGGGTAGGTACAATGGATGGGATGTCCAGGATTCTTTCAAGAGGGGTGATCCTGATAACAAAGAACAAGGGAAAGATGATTCTTTATCCCTTCCAAATTCCCCCATGCATGAAGCCAGATCCACTACAAAACTTTGGGGTAGAGCAAGAAATCACACACGAAAAATTGCTAACTTGATCAGGCTGATTTGCAAGAGCATTGTGGCAACAAGTCAGGTGAGACTGAAATCCAGCAAGTGGAAAATGACCAATGCACTTACAGCAACAGTTCAGACATTTGCATTTCAATTGGTTGTTATCAACAACTAATAACATTTCTAACAGATACAGGAACACAACATTCAGTACTAACACAATGGGATGCCGAGAAGCCGCATCTACGACCTGGACAGCAAAGACTTAAAATCCCTGCAGCAAAAGGAGCAAGGGCTACACATGACCTGCTGAGGTGAACTGTGGCTCCTCAGGGTTTGGATGTTCAGAACAGTCAAAGCTGGCATCCCATCCCCAGATGGGAGTGTGTGGTCCTTCTGTTCCAATGGTAACCCCAACCCTAAAAGAAATCCAGAGACTGCAGGGTGCTTGCTCCCTGTGGCACCTGCACTCTCTGATTCAGGGATTGCTGGATTTTTACAGTGACAGGAGGTGGAATTTCTGGAGTTCTGGCTCATTTGGCCCCACTAACAGCTGTGCTATCCAATATTGCAAACCTGACAGCCACACCACCAGCAGCTGTGGAGTGCTGGCATTGATGGGGTGGGAATAGATCTGGAGAAAAGATGGACTATCACTCGCTCACACTCCCTTTCTAATTCTCCTTTCTGGCCAAACAGACAGTCGTGGCTTACAGTTTATTGCAGGTGACTGAATGCCAATGCCACACCCTTAACTGCTGCTGTGCCAAATTCTGCACAACTTGTCACTCAAATTCAGAGGGCATCCCACTCCTGGATGGCAGCCCTGGATGTAAGAGAAATGGTTCTTTATGTTTCAGTGCCGGGAACACGACAAAGCTCAATTTGCCCTTGCCTGGAAGGGAGGGCAGAACGCCTTTATCAAACCCCACAGGGGTATAAACATTCCCCAACAACTGCACAGGCCGTGCTTGCCAAAATTTTACAGAGTCTCACTCCCTCAGGATATGGAAATTTGTAGTTTTCTACTCTCAGGAGGTGCCCCAGGAATGTTCCTGGGAATGAGGCCAGCACACCCCACTGAAGAGCAAGTTAACCACCAAAGGCCTGCTTATCCTCCTTGGAGGATAATCATTGCCAGAAGGAAACAAATTTGCTTCACACATCAACAAGGTCGACCCACAGAGTGGAGACACTCCCTGCTCTTGTTTATGCTGATCAGTATGGTAACAGTGTGCATTCTGCCCCACAAACATTGCTCAGCTGGGGGGGCCCTTTGCTGGGGCAGCAATTACAAAGGAATTTACAAAGGAATTTACCCACAGCAATTCCAGAGATAACCTATAATAATGCAGCTCAATTGGAAATGGAATTCCACTCTTGGTGGCAACCACTTATTGTCACTTATGACCCCACCCACAGTAAGCCACAGCTTTTGTGCTAACAAGGCAGGATAATGCTTCGGTACATCCCATACACCAATCACTGTGTCAGGATTAAATCCCAAAGAGCTGCACTCAGTCCCCTGGAACACAGAGCATGGGCCCCACGAGATGGCCTTGCCATCAAATCCTTGTGATTTGGTATTTGTAGACAACGTTCTTGTTACGAGTTATTCTTATTGGTACCCTAAGATTTGTGTTTGTAACTTGGTTGGCATTCTGGGCTGTGATTTTGGTTCTTCAGGTCCTGCTGTGTCTTACCAGTTGTTATGATTTAATTACACACTGCAGCCCATTCCTATGGGAATGAATCTTGCCTGGATGAGAAAACTACCCTTGAAACAAGGTCAGGAAAATGGATGGAAAACTCTGAGTACCATTCCTCCTGATGGCGAAGAAATCCAAGGGGTGATAGAGTGGCTGAAAAAAGATGGAGAACATCATTTTGGATGGTGACCAAGAGCAACTGGAATTCTTAATAAGATGTTGGGATCCTGTGATTGTCCTTCTAATGTTAACCTTTTTTGCCTTTTTTTCGGGGGAATCAGGTTGTATATTAAGACGTGAGGGATTAGAAAGAGATTACCCCGAAAGCTCAGAGATTGCTTATAGAATGCTTTGTCCCTTTCTCTCTCTTGCTTTCTCTTCTGTTCCCTTTTCCATGGGTCAGATTCATCCAAACATGGGAGAGATGTTATGAATTGATAGTATGTGTATATATATATATGTATATATATGATACATAGTAAAGCCACAGGTCATTTGCACAAACTCAGTCAGAAGTCATTTCCCACTGCATATGCAGAGTATGGCTGATACCAATGCTGACTTGTGAATGACCTCAGCACTGCATCTTAGGCAGGAGCTGGGTCCTGCCTGTGCTGAGGGGCTGTCTGGGGAATGTATCTCATCTGCCTGTGCTCCTGTGTGCTGGTCATGCCCCCCCGAAACGGGAATGGAGGGGACAAGAAGATATGAGGTTGTGGGCTGTCCCAGCCATTGCTGTTTGCCTTGGCCACTGCTGTCAGTCTTTGGTGCCATGGTCTCCCTGATGACCTCTGCCTGTCGAGTAGCCAGGGATGTCTTTGTCATCTCCCAGGGAAAGAGCACGACGGGGAATTCCATCCTCTGCTTCTTCCACCCTCTTCCCTAAGCAATGTGCAAGGTTTGGCAGAGAATGAAGGAAGACTCAGAGGGCCAGGCTTGGATGCAAAACAACTTTATTGAGTCTAAGGAAGAAAAGGAGTTGGCTTACAGGGAACAGGAGGAGCAGCGACTAAGATGCAGTGCAGCTCCTGCAGGGTGTCCATCTGCCTGCCCTGCAGAGGGAGGGAGGACAACAGGTCCCCCTGGGCTGGGCTGGGGAGACACAGACAGCAAAGGAAAGAGATGGAAGAGTGGGAGAAGGAAACATCATCATGAAATTCCAAACACAATGTCCCAAAGTTCTGTTTTCAGTCCAGCAGCACGATCAGAGGTCTTGCAGGTTGTTGCCCAAGGAATTTGCCAGCAGCTTTAGCAGGGCCCACATCTGGAAGGGTAGCATCTGGTGATGCAGGAGAGGTCAAAGCCCCCGGAGTTGATGGGCACTCCGTCACAGCTGAGGATGCTGCCAACGGCAGCGGAGGTGGAGGATCCCACCACGGTGTTCTGTGGGAAGGAGCTGAGGATGGGCCCGGGCAGGGTCACCACCACAGCAGAGGGCTGGATGGCCACGGTGGAGCTCTGGCACTGCCTGACACAGCACTCATTGCAGCTGTTGGCCAGTGGGGTGGGCCCGCAGGGCTGGCAGCAAGGGTTGCAGGGCTGGCAGCAGGACATGTCTCTGCCTCACAGGGGCACCTGGCACACAGGGCAGGGACAAGCACAAAGCGGGCACACATGAGAAGCAGCCCTGCACCCAACCCCCTGCAGCCAAGCCACCTCCTGCCCCACATTGCACTGCCCAGCCCAAAGCCCACCAGCCTCCTCAGCCAAGTCCCAGCCTCTCTCTGCACAACACCTTCTCTCCCCTTCCCTCTCCCAGCACCAGCAGCTCCCAGCCCTGGCCTAGCACAGCCCACAGCAGCTGAGACCTGCAGGGAGGAAAGACGTGGTCTTGAAGCAGCAGCAGGAGGAGAAGAGGCTTCCCACTCACCTGATTCCTGACGAGAAGGAGGTGAGAGAAGTGGATGAGAGAGCAGAGACTTGGGCTGCCTTTTATAGCAGTCCTGCCCTACCTCAGGCCCACAGGCACCTTTGTGGAAGTCATAATTTTCTGACCAGCTCATGCCAGTTGTGAACCATCCCAGGAAATGAAAAGGTAGCAGTGCAGGAAAGCAGGACACAGCCCCTACCATTACCTGGGATGGTTCACAACTGGCATGAGTTGGTGAGAAAATTATGACTCCCACAAACGTGCCTGTGGGCCTGAGGCAGGGCAGGACTGCTATAAAAGGCAGCCCAAGTCTCTGCTCTCTCATCCACTTCTCTCACCTCCTTCTCCTCAGCAATCAGGTGAGTGGGAAGCCCTTCTTCTCCTGCTTCAGCTGCTGTGGGCTGTGCTAGGCCAGGGCTGGGAGCTGCTGGTGCTGGGAGAGGGAAGGGGAGAGAAGGTGTTGTGCAGAGAGAGGCTGGGACTTGGCTGAGGAGGCTGGTGGGCTTTGGGCTGGGCAGTGCAATGTGGGGCAGGAGGTGGCTTGGCTGCAGGGGGGTTGGGTGCAGGGCTGCTTCTCATGTGTGCCCGCTTTGTGCTTGTCCCTGCCCTGTGTGCCAGGTGCCCCTGTGAGGCAGAGACATGTCCTGCTGCCAGCCCTGCAACCCTTGCTGCCAGCCCTGCGGGCCCACCCCGCTGGCCAACAGCTGCAATGAGTGCTGTGTCAGGCAGTGCCAGAGCTCCACCGTGGCCATCCAGCCCTCTGCTGTGGTGGTGACCCTGCCCGGGCCCATCCTCAGCTCCTTCCCACAGAACACCGTGGTGGGATCCTCCACCTCCGCTGCCGTTGGCAGCATCCTCAGCTGTGACGGAGTGCCCATCAACTCCGGGGGCTTTGACCTCTCCTGCATCACCAGCTGCTACCCTCGCAGATGTGGGCCCTGCTAAAGGCCCTGCAAACATCCTGGGACAACAACCTGCAAGACTTCTGATCGTGCTGCTGGACTGAAAACAGAACTTTGGGACATTGTGTTTGGAGCTTCATGATGATGTTTCTTTCTCCCACTCTTCTATCTCTTTCCTTTGCTGTCTGTGTTTCCACAACACATCCCAGTGGGATCTGTTGCCCTTTCTGCCTCTGCCAGGCAGGCAGATGGACACCCTGCAGGAGCTGCACTGCATCTTAGTGGCTGCTCCTCATACTCTCTGTTAGACAACTTCTTTTCTTCGTTGGACTCATTAAAGTTGCTGTGCATCCAAGCCTGAGCCTCTGAATCCTTCTGTGTTCTGTGTCAAATCCTTCTGTCTGGTTGGTGTCCAAGGTGAAGAAGCAGTGGCTGGGATTCTGTCTAGGAGATTTCCCATTCTTCCCTCCTCCTTGGAGTTTAAAAGGACATTCTAGGCTACTCGAGAGCCAAAGGTCATCAGTGAGAGCACAGCTCAATGTGTGGAAGGAGTGGTAAAGAGAAAAAACAATGTTATTTTCCCAGTAACTTCATCTCTTCCTTCTTCCCTCCATGAAGTCCATGCCCAGCACACAGGAGCACAGGCAGATGAGATTCCTACCTCCTACAGTCCCTCAGCACAGGCAGGCAAAGCCTCTGTGCAGACATGCAGGGCTGAGACAATCCCACCTTGGGATTGGGATCAGCCACGCTCAGGCTATGCAGTGGTAAAGGACTTTGGGCTGAGTTTGTGCAAATGACTTCTGGCTTCACTAGTAGTTGAAAACATTCCTCCCATGTATGGATGTCTGTCCATCAGTGTCTTCCTGACTGAAACCTTGGACAAAAGCAGTGCCCAAGAGCAGCAGCCAAAGGAAGACAGAACCTGGGGAACAAAAGTTTTCTGCAATGGACAGCCCAGAGACCAGAGGCTCATAGAATGCTTTGGGATAGAATGCACTGAATGGATCATCTAATCCCACCCTCCTGCCAAGGGCATGGACGCTTTTCACTAGAGCAGGGTGCTCCAAGCCCCATCCAGCCTGCTCAGAACACCTGAATGGATGGAGCATCCCGAAGCTCTCCATGCAACCTGTGCCAGTGCCTCCCCACCCTCACAGGGAAGAATTTCTTCCTAATATTTCATCTAAACTTGCCATCTATCAGTTTAAGCCCATTCCCCTTTGTCCCACCACTACAGGCCTTTCTGCACAGCCCTGCCCTTCAGTGTGCCCAGGTGGTTCCCAGTGCAGTGCAAGGTCTGTTGGAGGACAGATCTCCTATGGTCTGAGACTCTTGGAAGACTGGGCAGACCCTGGCCAGGATGTGAGAAGCACTAGGGTGTGAATAGAACTGGGGCTGGCCCTGCCTCAGAGCCCTGGGTGAGCCAGGGCAGAGGAGCACGAGCAGGGTCATTCTCAGTCACTGGGCTGGGATAGGGTTGCTGCCTGTCCTGTACCACTGAAGGTGCCCAGTGAGGTGGACAACCATGGTGTCTGTGCCACAGACTGTGGGCAGGAAACCTGATGGAAACCTCATATGATCCATGTGGTGTTGTGTGCATGATCCACTATTAGAGCCCAGCTTTGCCTTCAGGAGTCCCTTTCCTGCAGCCAGGAGAACACAGATTAGAAAAGGGATGCCAGGTTCTAGGATTTTGCTTGGGGCTGAAGTCCCATGTAGAAAAAGATATTTTCAGGTGAAACTTCAAGTAATTTTCTCTGTCTCAGATAGACAGACACCTTAAAAAAGACCATGAGGAGTCAGGGGTTCAGTAGCCTGCAGAGAGCAAAAGTTGTTGTGGGGATGCTGTGTGTGCCATCTGCGCAGTCACCCTCTGCCTATGATTGGAGGTGTGGTGGCCAGAAAGTGGCTCTTTGGGCACTGGGTGCTCTGCTGGAGCTACGGTTGCCCCTGGGGGTGTTAGGTTCAATGAATGGAGACTGCTCTGAGTAGACTGATCTGATCCCAGCCTGAGAGCTGTCTCAGCCCTGGATGTCTGGACAGCAGCTGGGCCCTGCCAGGGACTGAAGGACTGTAAGAGGGATGGGTGTCATCTGCCACTGACCACGTGTGCTGCTCATGGGCTCTAGAAAGGGCAATAGAGGAGAAGGAAGAGATGAAGTTGTGGGCGTTCCCCATACACTGTTGCTTCCCATCCCAAATTCTGCCACCCTTTGAACCATGGTGTCCCTAAAGCCCTTTCACTGGCAGTTAGCAGAGACAATTCTGACAGCTCTATCAGAAAATGCGCAAAACCAAATGTACTCAAGGGAATCCCAACCAGTCATTTCACCAATATCTCCCATGAGCAGATGGAAGAGTTTCCAAAGAAGAAATGACGACTTAGAGACCCAGGTTCGGATGCACAACAACTTTACTGACTCTAAAGAAGAAAAGCAGGCAGGTCCCAGACGGCACAAGCAGCAGCCACTAAGATGCAGTGGAGCTCCTGCAGGGTGTCCATCTGCCTGCCCTGCAGAGGGAGGGAGGACAACAGGTCCCCCTGGGCTGGGCTAGGCAGTTACAGATTATTACCAGATTATTCTTAAAATGAGTCCCATTGTCTGACTCAATTCATTCTGGAGTACCATGTCTTCACAGGACTTGCTTCTCGAGACCTAGAATGGTATTCCGGGCTGTTGCATGTGGTACCGAATATGTCTCTAACCATCCAGTAGTCGCTTCCACCATGGTAAGCACATAGTGTTTACCTTGGCGGGTTTGTGGCAATGTGATGTAGTCAACCTGCCATGCCTCTCCGTATTTATACTTTTCCCAGCGTCCACCATACCATAGGGGTTTCAACCTTTTGGCCTGTTTAATGGCAGCACAAGTTTCACAGTCATGGATAACCTGGGAAATAGAGTCCATGGTTAAATCCACCCCTTGGTTTCGTGCCCATCTATAGGTGGCATCTCGGCCCTGATGGCCTGAAGCATCATGGGCCCATCAAGCTATGAACAACTCACCCTTTTGCTGCCAGTCTAGGTCTACTTGTGACACCTCGACTTGTGCAGCACGGTTTGCTTGTCTGTTATGAGTGTGTTCCTCATTAGCTCGATCCTTGGGTACATGGGCATCTACATGGCGGACTCTCACATTCAGTTTTTTCACTCTGGCAGCGATGTCTTGCCACAAGTCGGCAGCCCAGATGGGTTTTCTTCTACGTCTCCAATTCATTTTCTTCCACCTGTCTAGCCATCCCCATAGGGCATTGGCTATCATCCACGAATCAGTGTAGAGGTAGAGTCTTGGCCATACTTCTCTTTCTGCAATGTCTAAGGCCAATTGGACAGCTTTGAGTTCTTCAAACTGACTCGATTCACCTTTACCTTCAGTGGCTTCTGCCACCCGTCGGGTGGGACTCCACACAGCTGCTTTCCACTTCCGGCTCCTTCCTACAATGCGGCAAGAACCGTCAGTGAAGAGGGCATAACGCGTCTCTTCATCTGGCAGTTGATTACATGGCGGAGCTTCTTCAGCTCGACTCACTGGCTCTTCTTCTTCTTCATCCACCAGACTGAAGTTCCCACCTTCAGGCCAATTGGTTATAATTTCCACAATTCTAGGGCGATTCGAGTTTCCCATTCGGACACTTTGCGTAATCAAAGCCATTCACTTACTCCACGTGGCATCGGTGGCATGATGCGTAGAGGGCACCTTACCTTTGAACATCCAGCTCAGCACTGGTAATCGGGGTGCCAGGAAGAGCTGTGTTTCGGTACCAATCACTTCTGAGGCTGCTTGTATGCCTTCATATGCCGCTAAGATTTCTTTTTCCATAGGGGTGTAGTTGGCTTCAGAACCTCTGTAGCTTCGGCTCCAGAAACCAAGTGGTCGTCTTCGCATTTCGCCAGGCACTTTTTGCCAGAGGCTCCAGGAGGGACCTTTATCTCCAGCTGTAGAGTAAAGTACATTCTTTACATCTGGTCCCGTCCTGACTGGACCAAGAGCCACGGCATGTGCAATCTCTTGCTTGATTTGCCTAAAAGCCTGTTGTTGTTCAGGACCCCACTGGAAGTTGTTCTTTTTATTGCCTAGTTAGTTGTGAACCATCCCAGCTAATGGTAGGGGCTGTGTCCTGGTTTCCTGCACTGCTGCCTTTTCATTTCCTGCCTAATTCCACATGCTTTCCTATAAGAAGAGTCATTTCTCTAATGCCAGGATTAGAGGCTCAAGGATTTGCAGTGAAGAAAAATGCCAGTGGAGGAAGGTGCTTTAAATTAAGGGGGTTTGGCATCCCCTGTGGGCAGGTGATTTGCCTCAAGGTCATTTCTGTGGTCTTGTTTGTGACAAAGTTTTCAGGTAATGGACACTGCTTTCATGATTGTTGTACATGTGCCCAAGTACTGCCATGTGGGATGGGGGGAGAATTGGAAGGGTAGAAATGAAAAAAAAATATTTTTTACAAAAAAGACGGTTTAATAATTAGATACCAGTTGAAAGGAGAGGGGAAATAAAAAGAAAAATTAACAACAGTGAGAAAGAAAAATACTCACCAAAATAAAACAAGCAATGCAAAAGAAACAATTCCTCACCACCCTTCCCAAGTAACAACAGCCCCTGCCAACTTCACCCCCCCAAGTTTAATTGCAAGGCGTGACTCCATATGGTCTGTAATATCCCTTTGGTGAGCTGGGGTCAGCTGTGCCTGCTGTGTTCCCTCCCATCTTCTTGTCCACCCCCAGCCTTCTCACTGGCAGGGTAGCCTCAGGGTTAGAAAAGCCATGTTGCTGTGTAAGATGTCATCTCAGCAACAACTAAAACATCCCTGTATTATCAACCCTGTTTTTGCACCGTTCCCAAATGTATCAGCTACTTTGAAGAAACAGAACTATCCCAGGCAAAACCTGGGCACTCCCTGGCTTGCCTGTCCTGATTGGCCCCAGACAGATATAAGATGAGCTTGACCCAGAAAACAAGCAGGAAAACTTAGAACTGTGCCCATTGCAAGCCTATTGTGTGAAGTGACACAGGCAGGAGGCCAGAACAACCACAAAA